ATCTGCGCATACGCAGATGAGCGAAGCTTACTGCCTCTCCTTCCTTGTCTTCTCCAGGGCTTGGTTCTAGGCAGAGGTCTGTCTCTGCTCCTCTCTGCCTCTCTTCTTCTCTGAGCCATCATGTGGCTTAAGGTTTGTGAATCCTTTCCTAGGGAATGATAGGTGGGAGTCAGTGGTGCTTATGCTGACTCCCAATTAGGTAGAAAGTGCATTTATAATATGTCCTGTGCTGTTTATTTGTAAATATATGTAAATAAGGTAGATTTACCTAGGTGTTTTTATTGATCTCTTTTGCCTAGAATTTTATTCATCAGCCTTGACAAGTGTTTGGGAACACCTAAAGAGAATCTCATGAAGTCTGCTCTACTGAAAGCTAACACTAGCAATATCACTTTTGTCCAGCATTGGGAGTAATCTTGGGCGAGACACATAGGGTTATAATAATACTTAGGAGATAATTATAGAATATGTTGTAGAGGCATCCAAGAAATAAAGTTAACCTAAAGGATTACTCTTGAGACTGAGAAACAAGACCAGAAGAGTAATGGAGAGCAGTGGAGAAAATGTTGGAGTAGTAAATCCTTACCAGTTCCAAACAAGCTCACGTCATCGATGAGTTCTTAATAGACGCAGGCGTAAATGTTGCCACTTCGTCAGGTTGGACAATTAGTGGAGTTAAGGGTAAACAAAGCGGGTGGTATAGCAACAGAGCGGACTTCTTAAGCTGATCAAAGTTAGCGGCAAAGGGAGCCACGGCCGACAGGTCAGGTGAGTGGTCAAAAGGAATTAGACCAGCGGCGGTGCGGCGTCCGGTTACACCTCTCTGAAGGAAACTCTTGTGGTGAAGAAAAAAGGTCAGGGATAAACCTTAGCTCTTAACCTGTCGTTTCAGTACCACCTTCCCTCTCCTCTCCATATATAAAAAGATAGAGGAGCTGCAACGGAGGATCCTCTTCGCCTCGGGGAAAATAATAATAATCGTTTATGGAAAATTTGGGTGATTTTTCTTGAACTCTGGGGATCGTTTCAGATGATACTGTTGATTGGTTACGGTTATTGATGATTTTCCTGAAGTTGTTGATGATGGTTGATGGTGAAATTCCTGCTGCCACTACTTTTGCTGTTAATAGTACTATTGTTGACACCACTGATGCTGATACTATACTGCAGCTGATATTAATTCTGATACTGTTGGCCACGCTGCCTCCTTTCGTACTGAAGACTTAGTATACAATGTCCTATATCCACACTGTCCTTAACGGGAAGTCATGCCTGTGACACTTTCACATTTTATAAGCCTTACTTATGTATCTCCAATACCGCCAATTGTACTTAGACACTACACATGTACAGGTATACAGACATTATACATTCATCTTTATCTCACAATGAAAAGCGGGTTTTCACATACACAAGAAGAATCGTTGATACTAGAGTAATTAAATAAATGAAAACATAATGTGATGTTTTCGTTCTTCATAAAAAATTTTAATTATCTCTTTCCTCTCGTGTGTTCGGTTCACATGGACTGACATGATTTGATATTCAGCTTCACTTCTTGAGTAAATTTGATGATTTTTACTACATTTTAAATTCTCGGATCTGTCTTATACCTTAACGACTTGGAATTTGAAGTAACGTGATTATTTAATTTTATCGACAGTGATATATTTTATGGTCAGTATTTATAAAGAGTTTGTGTTCGTGGGAAGAGGGTAGAGTCAGTTGAGTCATCATTAGCTACTCCGCCATCAAACTTTGCGTATTTACATCAAGTCAAACACACGTATTATGTCTACGAACACCATCAAACACTTACCAAGCCTGCGATCACTACTAACCCTACTTACTTTGTATAAGTGAAAATACCCGCTACAGCATATTAATTAAAATACACTATACTACGTACAGTCCCCTTCACTAGTGCGTTTACAGGAGCTCGTCTGGTTTTGTGCAGTGTGGCAGAGCTGTGTTTGTTTACATTCGACAGAAGGAAACTCACAATCGTGAACATACTATGAAATCGAAGTAATATTAAAGCAAATATCTCGTTGTGTCGAGGTCGTTTATATGGCTACCACTCCCTATTTTGCCAGATGTAAAAAAAATCTCTCATATTGTCGTTGTTAAATTAGCCTCAAGCCTTTGTACATTTTGGTTACAACGAACAAAGTATAAAGTTGTATTTATTTGTCCAGTTTTAATATACTATCTTATTTCAATCGTTAGCATTAAGGTATTATACTATGAAATATTATTCATATCAGAGTACCGAACTTTTAGCTAAGACCTTTTGGAGGGTTGTAATTATTCCCAGTGAAATCATTTATAACAGAATCTCTCATCACTGTGCACAGTGTGCAGTGTTTAACTGAACTGAAATTAATGTAACACTTGAACAGAAACCCAACTTAGCTTTGTTCACATTTCAGACAATCAACCTGATCTGTTGTAACTATTCCACTAATAGTTCTGGTGGTAATTCTGAAACATCTTCTTCTCAAAGTTAGTCATGAAAGAAAAATCAATATCTACACCTTTTTTAACAGTAATGATACAGTAACATCTCACTTAACACGGTAGATACGTTATTAAATAGTACCACGTAAAGTGAAATCATGTTAAGTGAATGTAATTATCCCACCATAAGTAATCGAAAAGAGGAAAGAAAAGTAAATCGATAACTATTTATCTTTTAATTCTTCATGTAATTCAGACAACACCCACAGCATGTCTAAAAAAAACGTACACATTACTTATGAAATGATAGTTTAGCATGCAACAGAAAAAATATGATAGAAAAAACATTTATTAAACTCGGTATTGACTGAACTAGAAAGGTCGTAGCATAAATTACAAGTTGTGAAACGTGCCAAGGGATCCTCAGGCTGGTGAACTTAGGTTTTCTATTGTGTTACGGTGGTACTCGGGGAAACTACTGTAAGTGTTCGCCGCACATTATTTCATGAATGGTTACTGAGAGGCTCTATGTATCATGGACAGATTAGAATTATATGTCGACAATAACAACAAGGGGTGTGGTGGTTATGTAAACATAGCACTTGCTTACTGACCCATCATTGATTGGTTCCATCCCACAGCCACCCACTGAATGAGTTCCTAAATTACAGGTTGGGAGGTGAAAGATAGTGGAGTGTAATGCCGGTCTTGCTCTTTTCTTGCGTATCCTCACCTCAAAGTCTTCAGTGCGCCGTGTCATAAGGAGACGGCAGAGAACGCGTAGGGAAGGGTGATAGTTATAGTACTGTTACCTAAAATTAAGACTTTAAAAAAGAAGCTATTGCAGACCTTCTAATAATAAGTGGGCTGTAAGAATAGAGCTGTGAAGTGATCGAGTATAATACCGGCTTCGCTGCCTCCTTGTTTACCAAAGGCTTAATATATAGTGTGCTGTATCTACACTGCCCCCAGCATGCTGCCAGGCCTAGGTAACTGTATTCACTTTTCAAGTATATAAAAACCTTACACGAGAGTAGTCATAAAAAGAGACGTACACGCTAAATGAAGCATACATTTGGTATTTGTCTTCCATCTGTTCGTTTGTCCACCTGTTTGTCTTTTTTTTTCCTTACTCGAGCTCCAGGCTTCCATGCATCAGTGTGGGACATTTTAGTCTCCGAACCACAACACGAGTTTTCATGTATGCTAATTGGTTACCAAACTATTGGGAGAGGCAGGTCCCTCTCGATTTTGTCCCAATGGCTTGAAGGTTAAGTTGACTGTAGTATGATAACGGCCTTTTGATTTTGGGCCTATGGGGTAAATGGTAAGGTTATTTTTGCCCAAAATATTCCCTGCGCCAATGAACACAATATTTTATAGGTCCTTTGCCCTGGTTACTGTTATATGCCAGACAATTGAGCACCTCGCGAAATATGCTGCTTTTTCTTCCTTATTCACATTTACACTTTGGTAACTTTTGGCCGTAGTAGTATTGAGGTTGTCTCTTAATAAACATTAAAGTTTCCACACGATAACCTTTGTCCTATACATCATACATGTACTAAACTTGATTTGGGAGTAGCAGTTAGGGATAAACCTTCTTTAACTGTGGGTCAGCAGGTCACAAGTCGAGGTGATCGTGTCCCACATAATTGGAGAACTTATCTTCTGGACTATCATGTGCCACATCTAGTTACCCTTTGTTTACTTTGATAGACTATGAAGATCGCTTCCTTTACGTTATACGTTAGGATACGTTGTTAAAAGAAACCCAATTGTTATCTCTTATTACTTTCTTTGGTTTATTTAGCGAAGTCTATACCGTGTATGAGTTAACACGACTGTACCAAGAAAATGGAAGCGAACTAATTCAATCACTTAATTATTGGTCACTGTGGCCAAGCATCATCATTAACAGTACCATCCACCACAATACACAAGAAAACAATACAGCAGTACAACATCCACTCTGCCACCAGTACACACAACCTTCCCCTTCCTGCAAGAATGTTTGTGAAATTTTTTATGTCAGATGTGAGAAATAACTTCGTCCACTGGGGATAAGGTCACTGACCCATCGGTGGGGAATGTGGCCCCAGCCATCCACAGGCCATTTTTAAAAGTTTTCCGACAGCGTTGATGGTATATACCTCTGCAATATAAAACACTGAATATCTACAAACCGAGTCACTCGTAATATCAAATTATTACTGCACACCAGAGTTGTTTTGCGTAAGTATATTAATATTGCTCACTAGTCATTGTGTCTGTCTAAAATAATGAGGTTTTATAGATTTATTTTGTGTTATCAGAGAGGTATAAAAAGAGTTTGTCTTAAGATATGACCATTGTAACAAATTCCTTCTATGAGCCGTGTGTATTGTCACATTGTATTGAACAGTGATCTTCTGTGTGTCCTGTTACTGATGCAACAAACGGGAAAAGAAAGTTTGTCCATGCATGTGATCAGTACAGTCATACCGACCAGTACAGCAACACCTACTGCACATCCCACTGACGAGTCAATTGTCCTGCAGGTGTCGTGGTTCAGGAGGCGAGACTGGCACATCCTCACCACGGGAATCTTCACCTACACCAACGACGAGCGCTTCACTGTCTTGCACCCAGAGGAATCTGACGACTGGACGCTGCAGGTTAAATACACCACACGCAGGGATAACGGCACCTACGAGTGTCAGGTGAGTGTTGTAAGGGCTCACAGGCTTGGAACAAGGAGACTCAAAAAGCACAGAAACAGATATATAGAGGCGGGGCTCACAGTGATAGAGGAGAGAGATTCACAAGACAGGGGGAGAGTGACTGACAGGACAGAGGGAGTGAGGCTTACTGTACAAGATAGGAGGAGGAAGATTCTCGTGGCAGTTTGCGAGAAATTCACAGGAGAAAAGATGGAAGACTCAGAGAGTAGGGGGATGGGAGGGGGTTCAAAAGATTAAGGAGAACGGCTCACTGGGTAAAAAGTAAACACTCACCAGGTGATTCAGTAGCTAAGGGGGAGGGAAACTCATAGTAAAGAAGCATAGGACAGAAAGACAGAGACTGACAGGGGAGGGGAGAAGTTGGAAAGTGGCGAAAAGGAAGACTCGTGGAACAAAGGAGAAAGACTCGCAGAACAGAGGGAGGGAATCAACATGGTAGGGATAGAGAAACTTATTGGGGCAGGAGACTCATATCAAGGAAGGGAAACGTATAAGGCAGGGGAGAGGGAGTCTCATAGGGTAGAAGGACGGAGACTCAGAGGACTATAGAGAAGGAGACTTGCAGGGAAGGTCATATGGTAGGAGAAGGGAAGGCTCCCAGAGACATGGGAGATTAAAATTTCCCTGATCTCATTCATTGATCTGCTTGTCAGCCTTTACTTTGGCCTGTTAAATCCAGGTGGAGAGCTCGATGGTTCACTTTTATTGTTTTTTGGGGGATATGTTGTGTCTACGCTAAACCAAGTCTTTAAATCTTGTAATATGATATTGTGGTATGTTTTGAGATGACTCCCTTTAGTCTGTTGTTCTGTCTTTACGTGTTACTCCAAGTAATATCTTAACATGCTCTTTTAAGTAGTTCAGAGTATGTCTCATTTCTGCATCCAGTCACCGTGTTTCACATCGAGTAGTTAATACAGAAGGGGTTCTCAGTTGAACTTGTGTCTCCTAGAGTGGTAGGCCCCTTGTATCCTTATATTTAATTTCGCTTTATTTCATATTTGTATAATTAATTGTTGTAATCGTAACTTCATTTAACGTCACTCTTCATCTACTCTCCTCTCATGATTTAGAAAACGTTATCTGTTGGAATCTTTTACTTTTTTAAATTAATATATACCTGTTTCACTTGCATTTAATGTATATTGTTTTTTGTGTTATATAAATTTCGGTAATAACGGTCACTGTGATAACCGAAACTTTAGCTAATAATGAAGATTAAGTGTCAAGATGTTCACCTTTGTCCCAGCCTTGATGTTGATATATATATATATATATATATATATATATATATATATATATATATATATATATATATATATATATATATATATATATATATATATAATAAGCGTGAAGATCAAGAGGATAGATGAAGATTAACAAAGTCACATAATATGGTGGAATACCACTTGTGGTGTACAAAGCAGGAGGACCACTGTTGACCAGCCGTCTCCATTCTCTCTTGGAGAATATATGGGAACAGGAGGAAATCCCCCAAGATCTTAAAGACGCTATTATCTTCAATATCTAATAAGAACAAGGGAGACTGGTCAGGCGCTGGCAGCTACCTCGGGATCTAGCTGATGTCCATAGCTGGCAAGATTCTCACCCCAGTCCTCCTAAACAGACTCCTACGTAAGGCAGAAAACTTCCTTCTGGAGTCTCAATGTGACTTTAGACCTGCAGAGTTGTTCGTACTTACAGAGTTCGTTAGCATTGCCTAACCAGAACTCAGGCTCAAGTCTTCAAGTTATTTATCCAGTCATTATACACTGAAAACTAAAGAACACTGGTAATGTATTTTACTGTAACCTTTCCTTATTACACATATGCGTATCTGTTATTCAGCTTCTCTGTTATTTATGTGCTTATGTACCATTTCTTTTGTTTACTTATGATGTAGACTTTTCTGTGTAATCAAAGTGTGGTCTCTCATGAATACAGCTGTCAACGGGCACAGGTGTGATCTCCCAGTTTGTGAATCTACACGTCGTGGTTCCTCAGGCCTTCATCCTGGGCAGTAAAGACTACCATGTGCAGCTTGGCTCCACCATCAAACTCGTCTGTGTAATCAAGCAGGTGAGGCAGGCAAGTTGGAGGGAGGGCATAGGTATAACTGAATGTCAAATGGATAGTTCACTAGTAGGGATAAAGACATTTGAAACGGGTAAATAATACTTATATTATAATTCTTCATGGAAGGGATAGTAAATCAGTATGTTAGTGGAGCATCAACGTGGCACTAGAGTGGGTAGGCAGCACAGGGCTCATGGTAATGGGTTCTGGTAACGTCACATGTCAGCCAAGTATTTGTAGGTACCAACATTACTCTTACGTTCGCAGGTATGTTAAGAAGGTAATGTAATGTAGTAAGTAATCGACTACTGAAGCTACACATTGTGAAGGTGTCAGTGTAGATGTTGGTTGTTGACACGAAGGTTATTGTGTGAGTAGTAATACATTTTCCTCTCTCGTCAGAGCCCGACTCCACCACAGTATGTGTTTTGGTACCACAACGAGCACATGATCAACTATGACACACAAAGAGGAGGCATCAACGTGTCGACGGAGACGGGACCCAAGAAGACCCATTCTCACCTGGTCATCACTGATGCCCGCTACCAAGACTCCGGCAATTACACCTGCAGCGCCTCTAACACCCAACCTGCTTTTTCCAACGTCTTTGTCTCACATGGTAAGCCGGAACGTGTGAGAAAAGGGATTTATACCTTTCAAACTTTTACTTAAATTTATAATACGTCTATTTTGTATGTATGTTTGTGTGTATATGGTCATCATATAGAATAAAAATTACATCTTTACTTTCCATGATAATGCAACAAACAAAATTGATTTGCATTTTGTTTGCAAATGTCTTGCAGGTAATACAGTACTGAGGTAAGGGTTTGTGGCTCCAATATAAGACAATCACAGACACAAATGAAATGTTAAATGGTGGAAATATTAAATGGTCAAGTGCGAATAATTAAAATTGTTCAGTTCAAAAAATAAACTCACTTAGGAATAATAATTCTCGGGTCGACAACTCAAATTTCAGTTAACAAAATATCATAACACTTTAGTATGAATATTTCTAATCCCTTAGTTTAATACATAAAGTTGACTCAATTGTCTGCATACATACAGTTTTCCTGAATTGAGGGACTTAATTAATGGCACACTTTTCTCAATTGGAAGTATATTTCAGTGAGGTAAGTATTAATTTTTTTTCAGTTCAGCAAATAACACTCCATCTACAAAATTACAAAGTTAACCTTTTCCGGTTCCAACTATTAAACTCACCCAATTAAGGTTCAGGAGTATTAAAAATCACTTAAAATTAATAATTGGGATAAATGTTTTGATTACACCCAGAGTGACTTTACCACACTCATATAGGGCAGAAACCATCCATTGGTTTCAGTACAGCTTGTAACTTCACAACTGGGTTATGTTTACGAAAGACTACCTACTTCGTGAACTCGTTTGATAAATACTTACTTTATGAGCACTGTGATATTCGGTAAAGAGTTTGGATAAGTCTGGGAGGCTGATGTTGATGCCTCTGGCCCGGCTGCTTGGGAAGGAGGTTAGAGGTGATGGTCGAGGAGCGCCATTAACCTGGGCCAGCATCACACACACACAGTTTCTCATGATTCATCTACCTGTAATTATCTGTATCCCTTTTCTATGTCCGTTTTTTCGAGGTAAATAATTAATGGTTCACAGGTGATTTACAATTACCTTTATACGAAACAGGGAGCTTTGTATACTGAATTATTTATTGATCGTATTAGTCTCACAGTGCTTTTGCTTTCATTTGGTTTACTGGCCGCTAATGCCTGCATCACTGCTGCCGTACTGCAGTCAGTAACCTCTGAATTCATCAAATGAATAATGTCATAAGTATGTTTCCTCTTCTTTTAAGTAAATTTCATAAAGGTAGGTCGTGTTCTTCTTTGAGAAACTATTCCATAGTCATTTTACAGATTTTCTAGCTATATTATAAGGTTCACAATAGCGTATGCATTAATATATTATATTATGCGTGTGGAGAGTCAAGGCTTCTAAAATAATTTGGCATGACATTGTCTCTCACACCTTGAATTCAGTGGCTTATGGTTAGACGACCAATCAAATAAAGGGAAATAATTCAATCACATAGGAGAGACACAGACGTACAGAGCTAGATATTTAAATGAGAAAAATAGATGTACAGTTAATATGTAATGCAAATACATAGCGGAAGAGAAATAATAGGCAGGTTGGTGGATTTCTCACACTCGTTGACCCTCTTCTAAGTTGACTGACACCCCTAGAAAATGACTAAATTGTCCAAACTTTGTCTCCCAATTGCTCTCGCATAAATATTATAAATAAAAAACATGGGATGATTAATCTAATGCCCTTAAGAGCACAGTAAGTAATGCTTTGTGTACTGATAGTGTTCCCAATCTCACACAGGTGACAAGATGGCAGCAATACAAAGACGAAAGGCAGCAGGTGGAGCCGCTAACCTCAGTGTAATCTGCTCGTGGCTCTGGTCCTTCCTTGCTGTAGTCTTCCTTGGCCTTAGATGATGTGTTTGAATGTCCACATCTTCCCTTTCTTTCTCAAGTTACTTTATTACGTCCTGGGCCCTAAATAATGTTGTCGAAGCTCTTTAACATTCTACTGCCCCTCATCAAGCCACACGCGGTGAAGAGATGACTGAGTTGTCTCCAGAATACACCCAAGTGATGTGTTGCTATAGGATTACCTGGGAGGGAGTTGTGGTGTTTCAAGTAAGTACCTGTGAGCAAATAGTGACTGGTGATAAGTGTGACGTGAAACCAGCTGGTGGAAAACCATGACATATTGTGTTCAAGTGACAGAAATATGGCAGATCCTTGTTTCTACCACATAAATAATATAAGAGAAGTGACAGTTTGGCAACAAGAAGATGCTACTGATTGTTACTGATTTCGATGGACAATCACACTTACTTCCTATCGTTATGATTGTGAACGCCAGTGCATTAGTTACAGTACGTTAATTTTGTTTATATAATAAAAGTTACTGGCTCGCTAATGCTTAGTGATACAATTTGAAGATAGTACCGTTTGAAGATTTTGTGAAGTGCTAGATGTGTTAGTATTCAAATGATCAGCATATTTCTGTGCCCAGTGTAATAAGATCTGATATAGGGTATGAACAAAGGAATCTAAGGTAGATACCGAATTATCAAAAATACCACTACATCCGTTCCATTGACCCCCTTAATGTACATAAATGTGGGTATTTGGAGTTATTTTGTGCAGTGCTATTAACAGGACAAGTGATCGCTTATTATTGTCCAGCGATCAGTGGTGTATACAGTACGTGCTGCACCACAAACCCTTGTTGGAGGTTAAACAATGTTTTAACCTCACGACACATTTTTGTTACTCATGAGTAGGAGGAATTCATGACATATCATCACCTCGGTGATGGATAAGAGAGTCAGAGTATATCAGACATAATTATGTCGTTAAATTTTATGAATTTTATGAATTATATGAAAAGCAGTTATACCACACTGGTAACGTGAGGTCAGGTGAGTGGTTCTTCGTGTGTGCTCAAGGTAAAAAACCAATAATTTAGCTAACTGATTAACCTGAATGATTTTCCTCTATGTACAGAGGTAACTTCGTACAAATTAATATCACTCAAAAGATACGGTGACTGTGTACTGAGTACACTGCGTCCCTAGCTCCTGTTACCTTAAGTCCCAACACTTCACAGTTCCCAGGTATCCTTGCTATGGAAACCACGATAAGTTGTCTTTATTTTAATGTAGTTTTACTTTACCATACACAGATACAGACAAATACGGATTGTATAACTTTTTATATAACTAATGGGCAGTGAAGATATGTTGGGACTGTAGACACAAGAGCTTATAATATGGTGAGTTTTTCATGTTTGGTTTTCACTGTACACAGCGTATACCGTAGCATGTACAGGCGAAATAGAATACCTACTATAACGTGTCAGTGTATAATGTACAATTGTACTGGTGACAGCAAATCTCACATCGAGACAAGTTACTGTGTATAATGAAAAAAAAATTGGCGACAGCAAACAGCATAAGAAGACACCACAGTAAATAACGAAGAGTTGTACTCGCTACAACAAACCACGTCACCTCAAACCGCTATATCAAGACGATAGAATATGTTAGGAAGGTCGAATATCATTTTCTTTACAATCAGAGGCACCAGATGTTTATTTTAATAACTTTCTCGCAAATACTTAGATACGTTGTATCAGCGTATCGTTTGAAGTTTACCGTTCTCTTGGAATTCGTTTTAAATAGATTTCATTAAAAAATACGACAGCAGACACAAGAGGGTTCACTACACCTTGTCACAAACACAACAATGGAATAACTTTAGAAATCTTCGCCGACTAACACAAGACATGACAAAAAAAATATATTGAGTATACAACTATTGTCACACAGAAGACCGCTACTGGTACACATGCACCTTATAACACACGCTAACCAATACTGACAGATATTTTATCATACAGACAAAAAAAAAAGGTTCATTTCACTATGTAATAGCTAAGGAATCATTCACTGTCCGTAATTATTGATATACGGCAGCAAATAAACCATCTTCACTGGGTTACTTCTTCTGACGCCATCAGATGAATCACCATTGCTGGTTCAAAGTTTATGAAACACAGAGGACTCACCGCCACCAGTTCACAAACTCACCACCACCGGTTCACGACTCATAGTGGAGAAGAAAGAACCACCAACCCATCACACACATGCACACAAAATCCACCACCACCGGTTCACAAGGCATAATGCAAACAAGCAACCACAGTAGAATCACTGCTACAAGTAAACAACAATTCACTGTAAACACACATCATTCTACATGTTTGGTCGGTCCAGAGAACCTTGGGGCTTCAGCCTTAATAGTGGCACTTAAAAACACCAAAAACCAGATACTCTTTACCATCTCAATTATAGATCGATGTCACAAAATCTATGTGCGTGTTCATTCGCTGTAGATTTTACATCTTTAAATTAATATGAATATGACAAGCCATACGAACAATCACTATAAGTAACCTCACAATGTGTACCTGTGCAGAGATCCTTCACAGAAGTGGTTTGCCTGTGTAACCATAGTGAATCACAGACATCAACTGGAACACATTTTTTTTTGTCTTGATAAATTTTAGATTAAAGATAATGGCTGAGTATTTGTATGACCATATTAGATGTCATGGTGCAGTATTGGCTCGCCCATAATAAATGTAATGGTTTATTATTTAAATGCCTATATCAAAATTGGTGAATAATTTCTCTTGTTTTACACAACATTGATATATTCAGGTTTGAGTTATCTTTACATGTAAAAGACTTTTCTCAACCCGGACCAACTCACTCACACCACCACGGACGCTTCACACACAAACTGACAATGAAGATGTGAAATATACGAGTTACGTTCATTGATCATGTAAATATAAAGAAAAATATTTTATATAATGAAAATAATATATACATATATATATATATATATATATACATATATATATATATACAGATATATATATATATATATATATATATATATATATATATATATATATATATATATATATATATATATATATATATATATATATATATATATATATATATATATATATATATATATATATATATATACATGCGTTGATGTCAAAAATAATTTCTGTTCATGTTTTAGTAATATTGTCAACAGTGTCACTCCATATACCCTTTGTCTTTGCGTACACACATCAGTAGGAAACATCTGTGGAATGTGTGTTTGTACTGTCTCAGATATTTCATTCAACTTTGTTATACATTCCATGAGCTGAATCCCATTATCTCACATATGTTCTAGCAGAGTCCCTGTGATTGATGGTCCCTGGCTATGACTCGGACTCGCCGCTGATCAACAATCGAGAAACAAATTACTCCACGCCCTTTTCCCCAACAAGATGCTCTTGAATTCCAGTTATTGTGTCAGTTTTTCCGTTTCACTCTATTCCAAGTTATATTCCTAGTCATTTTATCTAGTCAAGTTACTTTGACTGTAACACCAATGTCTTGACTGTTGCTGATATTTAATTTCTGCTAGTGAACTAAGATGACCTTTCCACTTATTATGCTCATCTCCCTTCTTACCTGGTCTCTCACCTGTATGTTTTGCATTAAAATATATAATGTAAACTGTGTTATTTTCCCTTAAATTATATATATATTTTTTTTTCTTAGAAGATATAACACGGCCCTCATAGACGTTAGCAGTTATATTCAGCCAAACGAGAGAATAAACAGAAGTCGATAACTGTACAGTCACACCAATTAATAAAAACCGCATGTTAGCAACTACAACGTCAGATTTACAGGTCATTAATAATTGATTGCACATGTACACAGTCAAATTAGTAATTGAGCCAGGAATCTCTAACTCTATAATCAAACAAACAATTGATCCACGTAGCTAGTAAATCTACAGTCGTACTAACAAGTGAACTATGTGAGACTCATAATGTACTGTACACTGCTGGACGTTTTTACTAAAAAAATTACATTATGCCAGTTAAATACCCCGTGGCACGACAAGGTAAAAATAATTAGAAACGCAAAGTATTTGTTAAGAGAAAAGAAAAAGGAACAATTTATCAGAAAATGGGCTGAAGACAAAAGGAATTAAGTACAAAATAAGACTTCTTGGTATAAACCAATATTTTTTGTATTAATTATAGTGCGTTTTAAAACCGTGTTTTTTAAAAACTTTCTTAATCTGTCCAACATGAAAATTATAAAATCATAAATTGGCAATATTTGTGTGCAGAAGTCCTCTGCCACTATACAGAGTAGGCTGTATCTCTCCTTGCAATCCCTGAATTATTCAGTGTGTGAAATTCTGATGTTATTTACCTCAACTTTTCAGAGGAGCTTTATAATGTATTTCCATATCACTGAGCAGTAACATTTACCATACGACCTGTAAAATACAAGATAAGCGGGTTTTTTTCCTGGTCGTGGGCCTCTTAACACAAAATTATGATCAATTTGCAAGACATAAAGCGGAAAAAATGGGGATGATGTAAGTTTGCCATTTTTGTTCAGGAAAATGAGAGTGCGTCGTCTTTGTCCTGCCGTCGACAATGTTTGCTATATGAGTTCGGCCGCCGGGCCACGCACCTCGTGCCACAATATACTATAATTATCTTCGTCCCCCGCTATATTTTCTAGTAACCTATGGATCTTCTTATTTACATACGAAATATTTATGAAAATAATGCAACTGAAGCCGATGATCTCTTCCGAAATTTTTTGCGCATCCAGAGAAGACAACGAACAACATCCAACTGGAGTCGCTCAACAAAGAAGGGGCGTTTAATTTACTGTAGGTGAAGTCGATACGAGGCACCGAATGGCTTCTCAAATTGCGGACCCAAATTACTGTAAAAAATCGTCAAAATGTGAGGATTCGAGTGTGATGTGCTCTTGCTTATGATAATTATAGTGAAAACGGAAGCTGATGTATGTACAGTATGGAGGTACGGTACACATACAATGAATGCAGCCCATGAGGAGGCAGGCACAAGAAGCGTGTGGCGTTTGCAAGGGACTCTGATGTGCTTTTGTTGCTAGTAACACACTGCAACCGCATTCATTCAAAGAGCCTGTGGATGATAGCAACCTCTCTCAAAGGGTGAGGCAGCTCTGTTTCTTTACCACCTCGTTTTTCACTGGACAGCGAAGCTGCCAATATCGAATTAATTGCAAAAGTACCATCATCTTTTGGCTGAATTAGATGAAGGTGAAAAGCTTCATGCCAACAATGATGAAGTTCAGAGTGCGCGGCCGAACAGTGCCCCACGTTTTGGGGCCCACCTGGAGCCCTAGGGGAGAGTGAGGGGAGTGAGTGAGGGTGTGAGTGGAGGAGCAGAGTGGCAGGGAGTGGGGGGTGGAGGTGGTGGGGAGTGGGAGTGGGAGTGGTGGGGAGTGTGGTGTGGTGGCAGGGGGGTGAGGTGGCGGGGGTGAGGGAGTGGTCAGGGGGTGAGGTGGCAGGGAGTGAGTGGCAGGGGAGTGTGAGTGGCGGGGAGTGTGGTGGGGTGTGGTGGGAGGTGGGAGTGGTGGGGAGTGAGTGGTGGGGAGTGAGAGTGGCAGGGGAGTGTGAGTGGAGTGGGAGTGGTGGGGGAGTGAGAGTGGTGGGGGAGTGAGAGTGGTCGGGGATTAACCACACGAGTGACTCCAACCACATGTTAACAAGGGACAAAGGTCAGGCACACCCATAAGAGTAATGATAAGGAGATGCCAGGGTCGGCCCGGATATGGTGAGTACACTGGACCTCGCGACCCGCAAGCACACGACAACAGATCTAGTCGGAGTCACACTCAAGCCCGAGTCCCGGGTCTGGAGGATGAATACTCTCCCCAGCAGCACCAGCTGCTGAGCCTTCCACAGGTTACAGGTGAGTAACCTATGATGATTTACTGTATTAGGAAGTGTACCGAGGTCATGTATATGTCTAGGTGTCATGATCTCGTGCGCGATATGTCCCTGGTAATGACCATATAATGACAATATGAATTTTATCCGGATTTATTCAGTTAACTAATAAATAGCATGTACCCAGCATTGGTGTTTAGAAAATTCCCTCAAAGATTATTTTCATATTTAATAATTACTGAACCACGCTACCAACTTTCCTCACTTTGCACTCCTTCCTACTATAACTCTCACTATATCTTCATAATGGTGCCAAAATCAGTCAATACATGGGAGAGTGAGTGATGGGAAGTGCGAGTAATGAGGGAGTGAGATATGGGGGAGTAAGGTGTGAAAATGGTGGTGGTGATGGAGGGAGTTGTGAGTGGCCGGTAACGGGAGTAGTTGTGGTCGGAGAGTGAAAGTGATGGTGAAAAAAGCAGGGCGTTTTGGTGGGGCTGAGGGGGGGGGGGGCTGGTGACGGGGAATTATTTGTTGCGAGGGAGGGAGGTGATGGGATGGTACTGGCTCGGGAGTCAACGGTGTTACTTGTATACGGTGGAAGGTTTTGTGTTAAGTGAAAGAAGAAGGATTATTAACAGGAAATGCCATCAACAATACCTACTGTAAGTAATGAAGAATGAAGTTAATAAATAAGTCAGAATATAAATACAAAAGAACATTTTATAGTGTTTATTGCTCAATTAGAGGTCGTAAAGGTAAACTTTAAACATCGTGCAAAACGTAATTCGCGGAAGGTTGGAAGAACAGCACGATATAATATGAAAATTGAGAGGAGTGTAAGTGTTGGAATAGACCAAAGGGTGTCTTGATGAGAGTGAATAATCGAGTAAGAGCGTAAAGATACAGGATATTCATTAAGAAGAGAAAATAATATATATATTAAATTATTTAAGACTATAAAGAAAATAGATAAATGAAAGAGGAGGACCGCATGTCACTATCAGGGAACACAACCTTGGCTGAAATACCGGTGGGTTCCTTCCTGATTCAGTTGTCAGTTGCTGCGCCAAGCGTTCACCTGCCTCCTGCAGAGCCCTTCAGTGACTTTCAATTTATGCTTGTTATCAAGTTTAACTGTGGCATCATTTGGTTTTGCAAATTAATTTAACCAATTCTATGAGTGAAATTCCTTGTGCTTGAAGAAAATTATTGTTTTCTAAATCATAGAAGCATTACAGTATGGAGAGAAAAGGCGGCAGTTGATTCTCCCAAGGTTGCCACAGAAGACTAGCACACGGTAAGTACAGTACTACCTATAGACTCACATACCACTTCCTTCATAAAAAAACGTGAATAGTGAATAGGTCGTGGAAAATTATCAGTATAGTATTAGTAAATATTTTTACAAGGTGTTAGTTGATGGAAGATATTTGCCAACTTGTACCGAGTAGTATATTGTTTGTATTTTACATTTACACGCAACTGAGCACTCGGTGAAATATTGCTTGATATGATAGTGTTAAAGACAGAAAGAGCGCAACGATACAGCCCAGCAGAACCTAAATTGCACTTCATGAAATTCATATAATTGAAATGTATAAATTCTGCAATGAAAACCACTTCAAAGTCTTATTACGATTCATTATTTACTGATGATAGACAATAAGTACGCATAAAACTTATCCAAAATTTCTGAATAGTTTTATGTAACTCGAAATTATTACTTCATGTTGTCCAAATTAAACGATCAAAACAGGAGTATACTCAATAACATATTAATGGCAAACGTACGGAAATATTACCACCATTTCTGTCTCTCTCTCCTCCCTGTTCCTTACAAAAAGAATCAAGCAACTAATAGCATTTGATAGTTAGAATAAATAGAATCCCATATTATTTTTCCACGTGTTTGCTTTGAAATTCTCAAACTAAAAGCTGCCTTGAAGGCCATAAATATTTGTAAACAGAGTAAATTTCACCACAGGTTATTTCTCCTCATGCCCAAACCCGCTCACTTCTATCCCCAATATTGTTGATGACAAGCGTGTACGCGCCTAGACCTCATTGT